GGGGGGGGGGGGGGGGGGGGGGGGGGGGGGGGGGCTTGATCAAGGCAAGGCTTGTGACTACACGGTGCGTGACGGGCTTCGCGGATGTTGAAGTGTCCACCAAATACATCACGTCTCGTCCATGAAGTGGATCAAAAGGGTCAAACACGAGGCCAAAAGGGGGGGGGGGGCAGGTAGACCGATGGTGACGTTCGTTCGTTCACCCAGCACGGCCTTGCCGCATCTAACCCCCCAATTAAACTTTGCCGCCCGCCCATCAACAAAACTCAAGGAAAACCTGTCGGGAAACATTTTGATTCACTTCATTCGCAAGGTGGTGCACATATGTATCTACGTTACACCGAAACTCACCCTACGGTGCTGAGCGCCAGCAGCGCAGAAAACACGGCCCCAAACACGCTTGTCGTCTCCGGCAAGTCGCCCCCCTCTCCAACGGCACCGCCCCCCNCCCCGCGACGCCCGGAGAAGAACGCCGGCGTAACCTAGCAACACCATCAGGATACCCACCAAGGCCTGCGCGTTTCCGCGCAAGGGACACGAAACACGCGAGAGTCGGGGGAGGGTCGCAATGCTGCTATCGTGCTGTGGAGCAAGAGCGTGGAAACAGACGGGCGTTGAGTGAGACTGTACGCCGCAGGCCAAGCCTGAAACGATCTGTATGCGTGTGCCGTTGTTGCACGCTTGGAGCACGATGGACAGTGCGCGCTTCTAAGCCGGCGGCTGCGTGGTTGGGTGTGAAGTGGTGAAGATTCTCTCGAGAGGTTTGCCCGTTTCAGGGGTGGCCTTCTCCAGACGGGGATGCTGACCAAGACACGACCCCCACCACGCAGGTCCCGCACAAGACGTACCCCGGGAATCATTGCTCGAGCATGGATTGATCCGCTCTTCACGACCTCTAAGGCAACACAGAATGCATATTTCTCTCCGTATATTCCCTGAGAGACCCCTGGCAAAGAATAGCAGCGATCAAACAATCCCGATCCTGTCCTCCCCCCCCCCGTTCCGGGATGCCCAATTAACCGATAGCATATCTCGTTTGGCACAGCAAACGCAAGGGTGATGACCAGCTTCTGGTTCATCCTTGTAAAACGTGGCCAAACCTGAAATATCGCTCCGTCCCGGCATTGTAGGGATGCGAGGGTTACGGTCGAACGACTACGGCATGCGTTTGCGTGAGTACAACCCCCACCCACCCCCCATGCCCGCATGTTCACGCCATGGCTCACCCATATAGCGTCAGCGACCCGCGCCTGGTGTTCCTCTTCATCTTGTTGAGACGCAGGACGCGTGAAATCGATGCCGCTGCCCTGTCTGCCCCTCTCCTGCCGTCCATACAGCCACGACAAACATGACGCGCAGCAGACAGAAAACACTCAAATATGACACCAAGCGGAAACGGCGAAAACGACGCACGACATCAAGGAACCACTTACTATGTATGACGCGAC